ATATATATATATATATATATATATATATATATATATATATATATATATATATATATATATATATATATATATATATATATATATATATATACGTATAATCCGATTTAAAGTGGCCGCTCGAAATGCATTTTCCCACCTTTGGGAACTGAATGCAAATCTATATTGCCTGAGTATTGAAATTATTCTCACTTCGTATTCAAATTTTGAAAAAATAGCGTTACGTATGGGTTAATCGTCAAGTCTTGGTAATTAAAATTTCAACTTGTGATTTAAAAACGTAATTCAGTGGCTAAAACATTTTAAAATACTGGAAGTGCAGACTAAAATGTCGATGCCAAAAGTTTCCCAAATAGGCAACCAGCATTTGAGCAAATTGGTGGGAAATTGTGGAAAAAGATGGAATTTTATCGTAATGATACAAAAAAGGTGTGTTAAAAATGGTAGTTGAAGTTAGCTATAGTTAGTGCGAAAATTAACCAATCAAAATCGCGTATTTCAGAGTTAACTACTATTTAACTACAACCCATCAGTGGATACAACCGACCCTAGATGTTTATAAGTATATGAAAAAAGTAAATCTATACTTAAACCTATAACGCACGATAACGTAGTAAAAATGGATTGCCTTTTATATACCATGTACATATAGTAATTATTGTAACGCACGTATATTACGTCCATTATTATAGTGTTCAATTATATTGTCGAACGCTTTTTATCTTGTTCATTATGAAATACAAACGCTTCGATAGAAAACATTATAGTGTTTCTGTTGACGATAGTAAACATATTCTACTTTCATTATGTATGTGTAATGCAACGTAATTTACACATATGAAACATACTGAAAAAACTCAAAAACGAAGCAAAGGAACAAAAATCTGAAAAAGCAGTAAGGGGCTGTACAGTATCTGGTAGTACAGACAAGCTGGCCTGCCAAGCAAGACAGCTCGGTAAAGTAAGATGGTCACCAGGATTCGTGCGTCTATACGAGAACATTTCCTCCCGTTTGCCGAGATGCTTTGGTTGTTTGACAGTTTCTAACGATAGATAGCTTTCTTACCTGTTCCTACCAGTATAGAATTCAACACATCACCATGAAATTTTGCAGCTTTCTCGTTTCCCATTGCTTCATAAATTCGCCGTATATTTTCATGCGTTTCACAAATGTAAGGGTGGCGAGAGGCTTCACCGTGCACTTTTTTAAACATTTCCAGTGCTATCTTGTAATGCATCAAAGCTTCATCAAGCCAGAATTTTTCAAAATAGCCACAACCCAAGTTGAAATGCGAGTCAGCGATTTCATGGTGGTCCACATCTTCCCCGTAAATTTGCTTCCTCATTTCAAAAGCCATGCTGTAATAGAAGATTGCTTTGTCATAGTCCTGAAACTTGGTGTAGCATGCTCCAATGTTGTTCAGGTTGCCAGCTATAGCAGGATGTTTGGCATCTTCTCCAAGTAGTTGCCGGCGAAGAATCAGAAGTTCTTCATAAGAAGCCAATGCTTGTGGAATTAAGCTAATTTGAAAATAAGCATTTGCTAGGTTGTACAAACTTGAAATCCTGTCACTGTGGACCGTGTCCTTACCAAATAATTGTTCTGTCATGTCAGCGTTTTCTTCCAAAACAGAAATGGCGGATTCTATTTCCCCGATAAGAATGTACAGAATTCCAAGATTATTGAGAATTTCTGAAATTGCAGGATGTGAAACAGAGACGCCATACAAGTCCGTCATCATATTTAGGCTTTCCATCATGTACGTTTCAGCCTTTTCAAAATTTCCTTGCTTCAAATGGGCAGCTCCAAGATTACTGATAAGTTCTGGAAGACCTGGACCCTCCTCTGTTGTTCTGTTTTCGTCAAGGACTTCTTCAAGCATTTTAATTCCTTCGGAAAGGTTTCCTGTTTCGCAATACAATAATCCAAGATTTTCCTTGATAATCGCAAAAGCTGGAAAGAATCGTTGAACTTGTTCCTCTGTCCAAGTTTCTGTAATACGCTGTGCTTCTTTGAGATACTGCAAAGCTTCTTCATATTTGGCTTTTTTTCTGCATTGTCTAGAAATGTTAGCCAAAGTAGCTATAACTGGTTGGTATTCCGGATTATCAGGGCTATACTTCCGACTTGCCTCGAGGGCTTTCTTGTGATATTCATCTGACACCTCAAAATTAGCCAACATGGATGCCACATGTCCCATCTGGAAGTAAACCATAAAGAGGGGTACCTCTTCGTCTGCCTCGGGATTATGTTCCCTTTCGTTCACACATATCTTTAGTAAATACTCTGCTTCTTTTAAGTCCATAAGTCTGACACGCATAACAGCACTTTGGTAAACAGATGTATCACACAAGGCACTGGACAACGGTACAAGTGGGGACAAGAAATCTTCTTTAAAACAGAGATCTTTGGCAATTTGTACAAGTGGACTACTAATTTGAAGAAAACGCAGTATTAATCCTTTTTTCTTCACATGAAAGATTTTTCCAATTAGCTTAACACCAAGGTGCGTTGCATCATCCCTTCGTGGAAGCACAGTGATATTCTCCGCCTGTGACTTGTTATTCATGTACGCTTTTAACCTCAAATACGTTCCAATGCTAAGTGCAAGAGAAAGATTGTGGGCAGCCTGATCACCAAGCAAACCTTTGAGTTTCATCTGTTGTATAATTTCCCATGAAGAATCGGTCTTGATGTCGTATAAGCAAGATGTTGCATCCAATATCAAACTTGTTAATCTATATATTTCCTTCTTTACATGCCACAGCATACCTTCGTTGTTAATGGTATCATTCTCCGGAGCGTATTTTTCAACATCTTTTGCTAACATTTTCTGGGTTTGTTTTTGTATCATTTTCATGGTACCGTGTGTGCTATCAGCCTGACTTTCTGATTTGCCCTGAAGTATGAGATCCATTTCTTTCTTGTACTCCTTTGCCAAAGACGCTTCACCAGCCACGAAGACCACCTGTCTCAGTATACTGGCAACATGATATCCCTCTTTCAGCATCACATCTTCTTCTTGAAATTCTGCCATTTGTTTTGGGCTTTTAATAAATTCAACAGCCCAGTTTTTCTGTTTGGTTGGTTTTCGACCCAATGGGGTTTTGCTGGCAAATGAGAATGCCCCATCAAAAGATATTCCGCGAGGACCTTCTTCCCAAAACCAGTTATCCTTCTTGCTTTCTCTATATGTGTCATTCAAATGCTTCAATCCGAGGCTTGGTATCAGAGTTTCTTGAAGATTTAGTACACGAATATGCATATAATATGTCAACTTCCTAAAGTATGATCGGATTTCTTCAGTATCAGTTTCAATCAGAAAAATAAATTCAAAATCGGAAAAAGGGGTCATTTCCTGTCGGGCCAAAGATCCAAGGCCGACCAAAGCAAAGGCACATGGCGGTGATCCAAATTTCTCTATGCTCTGGCAAAGAATTTTTTTCATAAATTCCTTCATATCTACAGAAATAAGTCGGTAAAGCTCTTCCACAGCAACTGTAAATTTGACTTCCACGTCCATGTTTACAGTTCTATTCCTTTCTATGGGCTGTACTCCGTCTTCTAAAATGGCGATACTTTCCATGTGGATTTTGTATTTACACCTCAACGATTCTAAACGGGCCTTGTTTTCCATATCATCAGAATGTTTTGTACCTAAACCTGGTGATTGGGATCCATGAATTATTTGAAGACTGAGGTTGTCTAGCTCTTCAAGCTCAGCAATGATGGCCACTTTTTCTTCGTCGTCTGTGGACCTTCTTAGAGCTCCATTCAACAACCCAACAGCATTAACTATTTCTTCCAGATTCTTTTCTTTCTTAGCCCGGTGTCCATAGATCTTGGCGAGTCCCAGGAAGCACTGCTTAACGCGGTCAGAGTTATTCTGTCGCCGGTATATAAGCTTCAATGCATCTGCATAGTTATTTTCAGCGCCATCAAAATTCCCATTTATGATATTCAAAGAAGCTCTGGTGACGTGTGCTGTGAAAGTTTCAAGCGTTTGTCTAGAAACAAAATTTATTAAACTGACAATACTGGCAAAAATGAACTATAGACTACACATATATGTAAAACAAAATCAGGCTAACAAGCAAATGTTAACCCTGCTCAAACCAAAGAGTTCACGATCTGTGCTCACTCGTTGGAGGCAACATAGTGTTAAAAAATGACAACTAATTTTAACCGAACCATACACACAAACTCAAGACTTCTTTAGACTACTGTATGTATGATTACAATTACACAATATTATGCATTATTAATCAGTTGATATTTTACAAGATACTCAATTACAAGGATATGCATGGGAGTACGAGTGCAGAAATTTGAGAAGAGAAAGTAGGACAGAGTTGCCTTCCCATCCGAGAAATTCTTCTAATTTTCAAATTTAAACTTTCTGAACAAACAACCAACTCTGTCCCTCCATTCATATTAGGAATTAAATTCCCTATTATTTCACGAGTAACTCGTCTTTATATTATACCTGTCTCTTTTCGCTGTCTTTTCTTTGATATTAGGTAAAAGGAAAGACAAAGTTGTTGGCCAGGGATCATAATTTTCACCTTCAGCAGCTGCTTCTTTGTCATGATCTGGAGCTCTTTCCTCCTTACTCGAGTCAATCTCATCTCCGCTTTTATCCGAGTTTTTGGAATCCATTTGAATTATAGCTGTGCAGACAAAAATATTTAATCTTAAAATATTATTTTTTTAAAAAATTATGGAAGAAAAGGAAGAAAAAGGGGGTTCGATAAGCGCAAAAATGTATATATTTTTAAACCAAAATATGAGAATGCGTACATTGATTTTGTTTATTATGCATTGTCTATTGACTAATTATACACAATAAAATAAATCTTATTCAAATATTAGCTGTATATTCTTTGAAACTTTGTCCTTTACACAAATGTCATCATCGTCTTTGGATCCTATATAATTTGTTAACCTGTTAAGCATGTGCATGTACTGTACTTCTACTGTTTTATTAAGGTAATCCAATACTTCATAAGTATTGTGTCGTGTCGTGCCGTGTTGTGTTGTATTGTGTTGTATTGTGTTGTATTGTATTTGGTGACATGCAGCAGCTCTCATACACTAATATCCTGTATGTTCCACCAATTTAACATCGAGAACTTTAAACGGAATCCGGTTTGCCTATTCGCTGGTAAGAGTGGCACTTTCTTGTAGTCAAGGATACCAGCCTAATCAATTGTTGTGCAATTACATAAATGTAGAGAGGTTTAATTAGTAGATGGAAAACGCAAATTATATACGTAAGACCTAACCGGGAGCACCTGAGAAAAATTCTGCAACTATAGGTCCTCCAGCAGGAATCGAACCTACGCCCTGTGCGATGCCGGTGCACCGCTCCGACTACTGAGCAGGAAGTGCAAAATTCCATCATCAGAAAAAGGTAAATTATAAGAAATTTTGGATATCTTCGAGGCAATGACCTTTTAGTCTTCAATCTGGAGGCTACGGTGGCCCATATGTGCGATTCACAAAACAAGTACTCACTGCAAAAGCAATGTCTATATCTATATAAATACACAACAGAAATGAAATGCATTGAGACAATTTTATTTTGTATTGAGATCAAATTTCATTTCGATTGTATATTATTGACATTGCTTTTGAACTGAGTACTTATTTTGTGAATAGCACATCTGTAATAAGCGACCACCCTGTAATAAGCGGCAAATTACTAAAGTCCCGATTATTCACTGACTCAGTTGTATTCTGTAAACACTACCTCTATTAAACAGGCACCTCTATTAAGCTTTATGTTATTTCTATCAGGTTATTTCATTACAATCCTCCATGAAAATTGGGGCAAACTTTTAACTCCCCCCCCCCTCCCGAGAAAGCATCAGCCCCGTATGCCTATGGCTCTGACCAGCGCCTACAGTTGCAGAATATTTCTCAACTACATCTGTTTATATAGTTTTCACTCAAAAAATTTCCATCCACTAAACCTTCAACATGATGTATATATCGATTCATCAATCATGGACTACTGGATGTCTGTACATGATGTATAAGTACTATATGCAGTGGCGTAGCC